GGCCCCCCCGCCCGGTTGGCCACAAACTTCAGGGCCGGGGGGGTCCCTGGGGGGGGGGGGCACAAAGAGCCCGTCACACCCCTGTCACACCCCTGTCAATGCCGATCACACCTCTGTCACATCTCATTGAACGCACCCTCCCCCAATGCCCTGCTTGGCCATGAACTGCTGGGCCAGCGGGGTCCCCTTGGGGGCGAGGGGCCCGTCATACTCCTGTCGCGCCCCCTCAGCACCCAAGCGCACCCCTGCGCAGTGCTCAGCTACGAACTTCAGGGCCAAAGAGGTCCCGGCAGGGGCCCAAGGGGACAATCACACCGCAATCATACACCCCCTGGTCACCCCCAATCACACCCCATTTTGCCCACATACACCCCTGCTTGGTCACAAACTTTAGGGCCAATGGGGTCCTCAGGGGTGGATGGATATTAAGAACCCGTGACACCCCTGTGCCATCCTCATCACCCCTGTTAGCACCCCATCAACCTCCCCTCACCCTCCCATCACACCTCCATCAATACCAGTCACACTCCCATAACAGCCCTAATAACAATCCGCTACCTGTCACCCCCTAATCGCACCCCACTGCACCCACAAATATCCCCAGGCCCTTGAGGGCCAGCGGGGACCCAAGGGATGGAGAAGCAGAACCTGTCAACTCTCCCCTCGCCATCACACCCCACTCACCCGACTGTCACCCCCCTCATCAACCCCTCTCCCCCATCATACCCCTATCACAGCCCCGTGCTCCCCCATGCCCTGCTTTGCCTTGAAATTCAGGGCCAAAGGGGTCCCATGGCAGGGAGAAAAGAGCCCATCACACCCCCATCATTACACCCCCCCATCACACCCCTATCACATCCCCCTCACCCCACCATCACATCCCCTTCACAGCCTATCACACCTCACCGCATACCCCATGTGGCCACAAATTTCAGGGCTGGGGGGCATCCCTGGGGGTTGCAGCACCAATCAGACCCCAACACACCCTGTACTCCAGTTCACCCACACATTCAGCAGGGCTGGGGGGGAGGACCCGCACCCAGCAGCTCCCATCACACCCCACCAGCACATGACACACCCCCATCACACCCCCACCCCAGCCCAGCCGTACCCCGCTGCTGGTGCAGGGCCAGGACCACGTGGCCGAAGGCACCCTGGCCCAGCAGCCCCAGCACTCGGTAGGTCTCCGACACCTCCAGGCAGGGCAGGTTCTGCGCCGTCAACGCCGTCAGCTCGTCCAGCCACTGTGCCAGTGCCATGGCTGCGGGGACAGGGACACGCACCCACGGCGTGGGCGCTGTGAGCACCCATCATGTGGCCTCTCACAGTGTCAGCAATGCAAGCACCCATGGCATGAGCACCCATAGCGCAAGCACTGTGAGCACCCATGGCACAAACACCCATGGTGAGGGCACTACGAGCTCCTCTGGCATGAACACTCATGGCATGGGCACTGTGAGCACACACGGCACAAGCACCCATGGTGTGGGCACCCACAATGCAGACACTGAGAACACCTATGGCATGAGCACCTCTGGCATGAGCACTCATGGCACGAGCACTGTGAGCACCCTTGGCACAAGCGTCCATGGTGTGGGCACTGCGAGCACCTATGGCACAGGCACCCATGGTGTGGGCACCCACGGCGCAGACACTGAGAGCACCCATGGCACAAACACCCATGGTGTGGGCACTGTCTGCACCGTGGGGCACCTTGGGGCATCCTGGAGCACAGCATAGGCACCCCACCCTATAGGCATCATGGAGCACCCTGGGGAACACTGTTGGCACCCTGGGGTACAGCAGGGGCACTGCAAGTCATGGGCACCCTGAAGCACTCTATAGCATGGTCACTGTGGAGCACCCTGTGGCACCTCAAACTATGAGCACCCTGTGGCACCCAGGGGCACAGCATGGGCACCCTCAGGCCACCCGGGGTCACCATGTAGCACCACTCACCATGAGGCACCCCACACCATGGGCACCATGGGGCACCATAGGGCACCCTGGGGCACAGCATGAGCACTCTGGGGCACCCAGAGGCACGTGGCCCCTCCTCTTGGCCCCTTCTCACTTGCCCACCGAGCAACACCCCCGAAATAGGACCCAGGTGTCCTGGCCCTCTGCCACCCCTG